ACGATTCAAAACTGGGAAATTATGGAATAACTTTTCTAGGGACATTTACTGTCCATTTTTACATGAATTTTATCATATCCGGGTAAAATAAGTAGAAAAACTGACAACGGCATTACTTAAAAAAGACATGACAACAGTACACAAAATACAACATACAAAACTAGATACTGAGTAAAACGAACCCAACAGAAAAAAATGGGGGTTATCTCATGTGCTACTGACGGTAAGCAGATCCTGCTCCACATGTGACACCTGTTATGTTAATAATGTAATTGGTAGGCCAAATTCGGTATCATTAATATGAAACTTCCAAAGTAGATCAAAATATAAATTATGTCAGAGGCTATGGGCCCAGCGATCATTGTAGATGCGTCAGACAGTTCCTTTTGTGATATTCAGCTATGGCGGACAAAAAGCGATAAGGTGTATAGGGAGGTGCTTCAAGGTAGATTAACCGGGTTGAATAGCAGGACATTCGGACTCCTCTTGAGGACAAGTTAAATAGGGGCAAATGAGATATATCTTCTACCCACATACAGCCTGGCTTTCATAATCGAGGAAACATTCCATATTGATTGGACACTTCTGCATATCAGTATATCCATCAACAAAACGTATGTTCTACTTTAAAAGAGGGGCGAAAGATACCAGAGAAACATTTAAACTCATAGATCGAAAATAAATTGACAACGCCATGGCCAAAATAGAAAAACACAAACAGAGAACTAATAGTTCACATGACACAACAAAGAAAACTAAAGACTAAGCAACACGAACCCCGCCAAAAACTGGGGATGATCTCAGATGCTCCGGAAGGGTAAGCAGATCCTGCTCCACATGTGGAACCCTTCGTGTTGCTCATGTTATTACTAACCCGGTAAATAGTATAATTCGGTAGGTCACATTAGTGAAAAAGGAACGGGATTGTAGTTACGCCATAAGGAACATATCCGATATCATCTGTGAAACGGATATCCCATGAAGGTCATCTAATTTGTGATGGCGTCCGTAAAATTTACGAAGGGATGATTTCAACTTCACCATTTGGAATTCTTGGTTTAATAGCTTCCTTGTGAGCAGCAATCCTCTATCAAGGAAATCATGATAGGAAATACAAGCCCGGGAATTTCGTATCAATTGGGAAATATAAACTCCGTAAACAGTTTCTTGAATGTTGCTACATAGAAATGGAAAGTTCACAATTGGGAAGCTGAAATCATCTCTTTTGTCGTAAAGTTTAGTTTTCAACCGACCCTAATTGTCAATTTATAGATGTAAGTCAAGATATGAGGCAGACGTAACTGTATATGCTGTAACCTTTATCTCTAGTTCGATGGGATAGATGTGTTCAACATAGTCACCAAATTTTGAATTATTTAGTGAGAGAACATCATCTATATATAGCGGAAAATAAAGTTAAAGGATATTGCTAAATCCTTTTCTTTCTTCCTAAGAAGTTCCTGTATGAAGTCAGCCTCATAAGAATAAATGAACAAGTCGACACGAAGAGGGGCACAATTGGTTCCCATGGGAATGCCGATAATTTGTTGAAAAAAAACGTCCTCTAAACGTAACAAATATGTTGTCAATCAAGAAATCAAGCATCTTGATAATGTCAGTTTCAGAGAATTTTTTGTTTGAATTAGAGTGATTTTTTTTACAAATAGGATTTATCCCTCCTTAAGACAAGATAATTGTATCTACGTTGTCCATTCTTTTTTATTAAACAAAGTAATACCATCTCTTTCAATATGTCATTTAGTTTGGAATAAGGAATACTTGTGTAAAGTGTGGAAAAGTCAAATGATTTAATAATATTGCAAGATGAAAGAGTCTTAGATTGTATGTACTCTAAAAGATCTTATGAATTTTAAAGGTTTTCAAGCAAATGGTTTTAATGCATGACTGACGGACGGAAAAGATAAAGCGTGACTATATTTCTATACCAAGTTCAAACATTTGTGTTTAAAACATATGTATGTTCACAGGTGTTAATATGTCTTTTGATTGAGTTAAGTCATTTCAATTGATGTTGTATCTTTCTATGTTGTGATGTTACACTATTGTTTCAGATAAGGGTGAAGGTTTAGTACCATTGTCGTTTGTTGATGTGGTTCATAAGTGTTTCTCGTTTCTCGTTTTTTATATAGATTAGACCGTTGGTTTTCCCGTTTGAATGGTTTTACACTAGTAATTTTTAGGGCCCTTTATAGCTTGCTGTTCGGTGTGAGCCAATGTTCCGTGTTGCAGACCGTACTTTCACGTATAATGGTTTACTTTTATAAATTTTGACTTGGATGGAGAGTTGTCTCATTGGCACTCATACCACATCTTATATCTATTAGATCGTTAATGCATTATAAAGCAATGAAACATTATGATTTCAGCTTCAAAGCATGTTGTGTCCCAATTTGCATCTTTGTTCGTAAAAATGACAAGTCGAAGAACCACTGCACTATTAACAAAAGAAAGATCTAAATCAACGACAAAACAGACAATAAAACAATACATCTGTTGATGTTTGTCTTTGTTTCTACAGAGCAGGAATTATGTTATTGATGTTGTCGGTTGTACAACGTGGTATTTTTGGTTTGATTCGTGTTTTGATGATTAAGGAAACAAAACTTGTTAAAAAGTTATTATATGTGTGTAAAATGTTATAAGCAGTCGACTTAAATAATATGCCAGCGTTAACTAGCACTTGGCGCAAATACAAAATTTCAATCCTGGTATCTATGATGGGTGTATTTACAATCACTGGGTCGATGCCACTGCTGGTGGAGTTTTTATTCCCCAAGGGTATCACCAGCCCAGTAGTCAGCACTTCTGTGTTGACATAAATTATCAATAATATGGTCATAATTATAAATTAACTGTTTATAAAACTTTTTATTTTTGAAATACTTAGGCTTTTCTACCTCAAGAATAGATTACCTTAGCTTTATTTGGCAAAACTTTTAGAATTTCTTTTCCTCAATGCTTTTCAAATTCGTACTTAATTCTATTTGGCTTTTTTTTGACATTTTTTTAATTGAGCGTCACTGCTGAGTCTTTTGTAGACGAAACGCGCGTTTGGCTCAAATACAAAATTTCAATCCTTGTATCTATGATGGGAGTATTATGATAGAATCATTGAATTGAGATAAAGAACGATAACTCTCTCTACATGAACAATCTGAAATGTGTCGCCACTCTCGTTAAATTTCGTACGATTGTTTTATTGTAATGGCTGCCAGATTCTCCTTTTAATCGCGCACTTGAAAAAAACGGGATAGAACGCAACAAATTCGATGTTGAATACGACATGAATTTTTATTTGTTTACAAAAAAATAATAAAAAAATTTTGGTAACTTGTGTATTTTATTCAACTTTCATTTTACCACGGAAATAGCCGAAGTTGGGACGAACAAGTAACCTTTAACCTATCTTACGTGATGTTTATTGTCTGTTTCATCTTTCCATTGTCAGTGACAGCGAAAGCAAATTTCCAAAATAATTACAGGTACTTCATTTTAAAGTCATAGTATCATAATGAATGATCACATTTATAGTGTTAAAGTTCCGTTCAGCCTTTGGAACACAGAAAAACCCTCTGCAAGCAATAATGTTCGAGAGAAACGTAGGTCATATGCAGAAGTAGTAAAATCCGGTGCTCCGGTTGACCATGACTACATGTCGTAGTTGATCACGGTTATTCCTGTAGCTCACAGACAAATGCAGTTGAAATTCCCAAATACATTTGTATTCAGCAGCAGTCTCCAACTTCACAGAACAAAATTTATCTCTTTCTGAAAAAAAAAATCAAAATGGTGACAATTCACTAGCTAAATTTTTTTTTTATACTTTTGGGCATCATTACGTGGTATTTCACAATGCTGGGTGCAGAGTGCTAAAGACTTCGGGCACAAATATAATTTCAAATTGATGACAAAAAAGCCTGACCTGCTTTTTTTACCACAGGTAGTTGTGCCGAATACCATTTCAAACCACTCAAAAGATTACATTCTATTTATTTAAAAGAAGCAAGTGGGACAGATGTAGATTTGTCTGATCGCTCAAAATAAAATTGAGAATGGAAATGGAGAATGTGTCAATGAGACAACAACCCGACCTAAGAGCAAAAAAACAACCGAAGGCCACCAATGGGTCTTCAACCCAGCGAAAAAAAAATTTAAATCTTTTTTTCAATTTTAGACAAAGACTATATTTAGGGACATAGTGAATTTTTGGCTTGATTAGCTGGCATTTAAGGTAGCGCTTTCCTCATATTAAATGTTCTAGAAATGATAAAAAATTTACAATAAGGTTGGATATACATGAGGAATAAAAAGAGACAAAACTAAGTAAAATAAGAAAATATCAGCCCAATAAAAACAACAGTGCCACAAAAAGAATCGACGATTTAAGGGTTAATACCGGTACTACTCTTGACATGAATCATTCATGTATATGCAAATGTATGAAGGTGAAAAGTCATTTATACAACAATAATTTCTATATGATTTGCATATTAGGGAATACGTTTATATGATTGGTCAAGAGGGCTTCCGGTAGCAGCCCATGACGTTATTCATTTTTCGATAGACGACATTGACGGAACTTCTTTTTGTAAACAATGCAACGAAGATGGCGGCGATAGTAGCACAAACCGGCCCAACGTTAAAAATATGTTTTTTTCCCTTCGCGAGCATCATAACATTGAATAATAAACATAAAACATTCATTTGGATGATTGTATGATATTTTTGTATGATATTTTTCTATCAGATATCAAATTTTATGGAGTACATTTTTTTTGCGTTAACCGAAAATTAAATTCATGCGCCAGGCCAATTCGATGACACAAATATACAATTAACTTGTGATAGACGTTATGAGTGGGAAAATTAAATTCCTTATCTCAAATTTTAAAAAATTATAAGGATTAATCGCCTTTTTAAAAGAGTTAATTGATGTATAAACTTGACCAAGTAATCACAAACATATCAAAAAAGTCCGCAGGACTTTTTTTCTTTTGTGATTGACTTGGTCGAGGTTATTCACCTTAAGAAATGTATTTAATGCTATAATGTTTAAACTTCTCATAACGTAACCAATCATTTAAACTTATGATATGTGTGAGCAACGGAGCGAAATCGAAAGTGAAAGTTGGAATACATGCAAAATCAATATTTGCAGAAAATTTCCAGTGACGTAGGCATCGTTGTCGCCACTAAATAGGCCCAACACCGATTTGAGTTTTACCTAAATTTAAAAAGGTATGTACATTTATCAACATTTTTTCAATTGAAACATTTAACATGTTTAACCATAACACGCAAGCTAATACATAAAAACGAAAAAATCATACAATTATATAATGTACTAAGTTTTATATTTGTTAAATATTCGCAATCATGGTATTAGTAATTTGTTCTTACTTGACAGTAAAAAACAAGGTAAAATATGTCATTGAATCCAAGATTTTGATTTTCATCATATACAGAAAATAATAATCATTATTCTTTTTATTACATAACATATACATGTGTTTTTAAGACACAAAGAAAACGAGGAAAACCCTCACGAGATGAAAACTTTAACGGATTAAACAATATGAACTACTCCTTCCTTTAAAATTAAAAAAAAAAATATGTATGTGATTCAAAGGATATATGGATTTCAAATTATAAGCCTTGAACGCACACAATGGGGATAAATCCAGAAAATGCAGAAAACGTCTAGGAACGCCTGAATGAATATACTACTTATTTGATTAAAGACATACATGTGAATAGCTATGAACATAAGGTAATTATAGACAAGTTAAATACAGTATAAAAGATGTCAGGACAAGATAAAAATATATTCATAAAAATCACGTAAGCAGTAAATTGATACATATATTAGTAATGTGATATGCATGAAACACACTACAAAAATAAAGTTGTTTAAAAGAAGTTTAATAATTTTGAAGGTTATTGTATTTGTGTTCAATGTCATAAGCAGACGATTGGAATAACTAATGCTCTGAAATATGACTTAAATTTACTGGAAGGATGGATAGACATAAGGAATAAAAAGAGACGACATGAAGGGAAAATTAAAAAATTAAAAACAAATTGTTCAGAGAACAATTGAAGGTCTTTCCACATCAAATTGCTAAATAATTGATAAGAAGCTAAGCTGCGATTTAATCAAATTTTGTATTCGTGTTCAATCATAGGTGTCTTCATTCTGATTAAAAGTTTACATAGTTTTTATCCAATTTTGTCTGAAATAAGGGAGATTATTTGCTATTTCCGGTTTAGAAAATGTCGCTTCCAGTCTCATATGATATCTTTAGTCATACTGATTCTAAAAATATATGGTTTCTTTATAATTTTACTTGAAATAGGGATATAAATTGTAACTTCCAGTTTAATTTTTCTTACTTTTGATACCATCTGATTCACACTGATTCCAAAAATATATGGTTCTGGGTTATTTAAAAAGTAAATCAGTGCAGAAAATGGCAATCCGATTAAAAAAATGTCACTTATGACTTACCTTTTCAAGGTCATTTATCGACCAACATAATGCGGAAGACCACATAGCTTTACCATGTTTAAATATGATATTAATGCAAAGGTCAAAATCTAGAACATCAAATTTACCTTTCACCTTGACATTACTTTCAAGGTAATCAAGCAAGGACATCAAATCAACATACCCTAGGTCTTTACTACATATGGTTGATCATTTATATCACCATACAGCTTATTTTAAATAAAAAAGGGGAGCAAACTCTTATCCTTCCAACCATAATTTAACTTACAATTTTGAAATATATTTTGTACATATCATATACGGTTTCTGTGGGAAAAGCAAAAATTAGCCAATTTCAAAATTTACAATATGACCTTGACTTTTGACCTTGACCTTATTTTCATATATACGAATCAATGACCTAACATCAAAAGACCCTACAGTACTGTAGGTCCCTTACTCTTATGGCTTATGAGTTACTATTACATTTTACTTATATAGAAAAACAAAAAACTATCATATGGAGTCTCTGGATCGCTTCGGTCCAAACAATTTTGACCGCCCGAGGATGTAGCGAGCAATTTAGACAAATTATTTGTCGGTTTCTCTTATGGTTGAGAAGGAGTAGCAATAACAAGGAAAACAATGCCTAGGGAAATAACTCTTTTAAGGAAAAGTGTTCGGCTAAACGGTGTCAGTTTCAAAAGCATATAAATTAGTCGGTATCATAAACCAAATTTCTAAGCGCAATCTTAAGAAACTACCAAACAGCGAAAGAAAACAATTAGGAGGAAGAAGAAACAAAAATAAAAAACAATTGTTCAGAGCACAATTGCAGGTCTTCCCACCTCAACTTTGATAATAAAGAATAAAACTAAAGGGGCACTAGCTGTCAAATTCGTGTTCATCGATTTGACTCAAATTCACATAATATTATTTTATTTATAACCATGTAAAACATTTATCCAAAATATAAAATGTCTAAAATAAACAATTAACTGGGCATGAGCTCGATAATATGTAGCTTCGTTTCGTGTGTATTTAAGTATGGACCCCATCTAATTAACTATCGAGTTGACCTCCGAAGACCTCTGATGGTCATATCACCAATATAAACATAGATATAGAGAATAAATAGAAAGCGAACTCGTGATATTGGATTTTTCTAGCTCTGTTTAATTTCATATTATAGATGAAAAAATATATTGATCATCGTTATTACATGTATAAGAATGATTTTTTCTGAATCGAATCAGTCAATCAAATGATTTACCTTTGTTTCACTTTCAACGTTGACGTTCTTTTCCTTTAAATAAACGATCACGCACAATTCATGCGTTATCCATCTCTAGCTAAGTGTTAAATTGAAGTTCACATGAATACGGATTCAATGAGGTCGAATTATTCACTTGCAAGTGAATAATTCATCATCAATGTTTCTTAGCTTAATTTGACAAATTGAACCATACTGGCTGCTAAAAGCGAATTATTATTTCACTATTTCACTTTCATTAATGATTGAACCAAAAAAAATCATACTTTAAATTTTTTATATATCTCGTAGCTAGTGCCCCTTCAAAAAAATACAGTGTTAAAACTTCTGGTTCATATAATTTGTTACTTGAATCTGATTTTAAAAAGATAAGATTTCTAGGTACTTTTTCATTGAATTAGTATGACATAGGCTACTTTTGGTTAAAATAATGTCACTTTCGGTTTTACTTTTACAAGGTCAAATGTTTACCAACCAAATGCAAAAGACCTTATACGGTTATAATGAACCAACTTGAATTGTTAGTAAGGGCCAAAATCAAGAACGTCAAATTGACCTTTGAACTTGTTCTCAATTGCAAGGTCATAGGTCAGTGATCTCAAATCGAAAGATCCCATGTCATTCACTTATATGGTTGAGGAGCAATACTGATTTCCATTACACAAAGGGAGAAAACTCCTATAAAGAGTGAACGAAACACTTCGACTTGAAGTTAGGCCATGTCGTACACAATTCTTTGGAAAACGCATCGTATCGTTAACTGTTCCTGTTTCTCTTGCATAAAGATAACAAGCAAAATTCATAAGTAAGAACTTGACCTTGACCTTTGACCTTGACCTCAATTTTCTCAAAATGGACCAAGGACTTCATATCAAAAGACTTGAGGCATCCATGACTTATAGTGCATAAATTTATTCAACATATCACATATGTGAAATTTTCAAAGGGAAATAACTCCCATAAGATGACATTGGATCACTTCGGTGAAACTTAACTATAACATTCGTAAGAGTAGTAGAACAATTTGGTGTAAAAAGTTTGTTGATATCTTAAGCTTTCAGAGAAATAAAGATAACAAGAAACAGTACGTTGGGAGATAACTCCAATAAGAATAAATGTTCGGTTACACAGGGTGAATTGGGAAATCCTCATCACTGTACAACATCATTGGCCAAAATATGTCGTGAAACAAACAAAAAAACCATCTCAGACGGCAGAAAAAAAAAAAAAAAACCTATTGTTTAGAGAACAATTGAAGGTTTTTCCAATTCAATTTTCTAAATAATAGATAAGAAACTACTTCTGGTTTACTTAAAGTTACTTTTGTCGTCCAATCATAGTTTTCTTTATAATGATTAAATAGATATATGGTTTCTTTATAATTTTGTCAAAGTAAATGAGATAATTGTCAACGTCCGGTGAGAAAATTTCACTTCCGGTCTTATATGATAGCTGTATTTACAAGGATTCTACAAATATATAGTTTTTATATACTTATGACATTAAAAAGGAAGATAATTGGCTACTTCCGGGCTAGAAAATGTCAATATCAGTCTCAAATGATAGCTTTATTCATACTGATTCCAAAAATATATAGTTTGTATATACCTATGCCTGTAATAAGGAAATAATTTGCTATTTCCGGTATTTAGAATGTCACTTCCGGACTCAAATGTTAGGTTTATGCATGCTCGTTTGAAAAAATACATGGTTTCTATGTATTTTTCCATAGAAATAGTGCAAACATGACTACTTCCGGTTCACTCAATGTCACTTCCGGTTGATATATTTCAAGGTCACATGTCACTTAACATTTTGTTAAAGACCTTATGGCTCTACCATGAACCACCCTGAAGAAATAATCAATTTACCTTAAAATAAAACATTTCAGGGCAATGACTCCTATAAGATGTCACTGGATTGTTTGAGACCAAATGAACCCTATCTTCATCACAATATAACAAACATGTTGCACTACTTTTTTTATATATAAAATTGAAAATATCGGAGAGAATTAAAAAAACAAGCAAAACATAGAATTCAGAACATGACATTGACCTTTGACCTTGACCTCATTTTTAAAGTTAGGAGCCAAGGACCTCAAATGAAAAAAAAACTATAGGTTTATACGGCTCACGGTTGATGAGTTACATTATTTTACGACAAATTGATAATGGTACATAACTACTATAAAATTTCACCGAATCACTTCGATCCAAATCAGTCAAACATTCCTTAGGATGTAACGAACAAATATTAAAAAACATGTTGTCGTTATTTTTTTCGGTTATAGAGGAGATACACTATAAAAAAAAACAGTGTTTCGGGAGAAAACTCTTACAATAAAAGTTTTCGCCTTAAAAAATGAGTTTTAAAAGCCCAATAATTATTCGAAATGATATCCAAAATATCTAAGCGAAAAAAGTTTATATCGCAAGTAAAGGGTTTGGAGGAAAAAGAAACAAAAGAATTAATTAG